TAAAAGAGATATAGCACTTTTTGGTAAGCTAATGAGATTGTGCCACTTTCATTGTTTTATATTTATATATATTTATTATTTTTAAATATTTTACTGAAATTTTTCGAAAATTGAAGAAACTTCATCAAAATTTTATGAGCCAAAGGCATTTTTTATCCGTTTTCCGATGAAATTATAGCAAAAGTAAAGGTTTAAATTAATCATTACTTTAAAAAAAAATTTAAAGTCTGATTTAATTTACAAATTAAATTGGTAACTGAATTAAATTACTTAAATTAATTTATGCATATAAGTAACAATAATTACTTATAGTGTATTCAAATCCAAGCCGAACTAAACAAAAACGCCCAGACGCTTGATAACTCGTTCTTATTGGTTGATTCGGAATCTGTTGTAAATTATTATTAAAGGTCCCAGGGGAGGCCGCATGTGAAATTTATGCGAAATTTTCAGTAAATTGCGAAACTTTCAATGAAATTTCTGAAACTTTCACAGGCAATGTTGAAATTTTCGGATTGAAAATTTCATTTGAAATTTTCAAAAATTTCACTTTTCCAACTAAGTGAAATATTTCAAGTTTGAAACTTTCAAAGTTGAAATTTTCATTTGAAAATTTCAACTGTCCCAACCCTACTTGTAACAACTTTTAAATTGATGCAATTACATAAAAAAGTAAATTAATTTTTTGGAGGGAATGACCTACATAACAAACATAAATAAAAAATAAATATAAAATGCATTACTTTTATTAATTAACAAGTACACTCAAATTTTTTTTAAATAAATATAACAAAAAAAGTAGTTTTTCTTAATAAAGTAAAGATTCCTATTCGTACAACAATTGCTTTTGTTATATTTTTTATAAAAATTATTAATCTACCAACGATGCTTGCAGTAATAGCATTTGCATTAATTATAAAGTAAATTTTTGTTGTGTGTATAAAAATAACACTCTTCCAGATTCAGAAGCGCATTGATAAATATAGTTATTATTAAAAACAGTTCTATACCGTTTACAAAAACGTTTTGTAGTACGCATTAATGAAACCCTAATGGTATTATTCATAAAAATTTTGTCAATTTTACAAATCCCTTTTCGTATAAAATAAAACTTTTTTATAATATTATTAAAATTTATGTAAATTTAACAACAAATTAGTTGTTAATTCAATAAACTATTTTCATTGTAACAATGGTCACATTTTAAACCTACTGTTGGGTGTTGGGTAGTTTTTTTTAAATAATTGCAAGGCATTAATTGCCATTAAAGCAAATTATTTATTATAACAAAAAAATTAGCTCATAGTATATGTACAAAATAAAAAAAATATGAACTCAAGGATAAGTATACAATTTAACATAGGTATATTTTTATACCAATATATATTTTTTAATATAACTAAAATTATTAAAAAAATTATTTGCACAAAAATATTATAGGTATGTAGGTAAAATAAAATATTTTAATAATTACACGCGGTGTTAATTTTGTTTATATGTAAATAAAATTAATGCCGTGTAATTGAAATATTATATTATTATTATTATTATAAAAAATGTACATTTTGAATAAAAGTTGTCTCATATCGTCCTCATCATCATATAAGGGCTTATCTTATAGGTTACAATTTTATAGAGCATGTTAAAGATTTAAAGTTTTGAGCTAATTTAAATGATTTTTAAACTAATTTTAATATAAAATGTCTTATTACAAAATTTTGCTAGGGAAATCTTCCGATTTTTTGAGATAGATACAGGTACTTTAACTTAAAAACTTAAATTTCTTACAAAATAAGCAATGCAAGAAGCAAATATTTCTTACCATTTTACTTCATTTTTACTTAAAAAAGTTTTATTCACAAAACGCAAAATTAACTTTAAAAATGTAAAAAAATGTTTAAAGGCTTGCAAAAAACCAACAGTTGCCAGTTTTAAATATTTATCCCACAATTAATATTTTTCCTCTGAATTAAAGTTTTTTGGTTTCTCTATACCTTTTGTTGAATTAAAAAAACATTATATGGTGCTCACGAATATAAAAAAATTAAAAATTAATAGACAATAGACAATAGACGTTTGTAAAATAAAAGTAAATTGTCGTGTATTGTTGTGAGCCCAACCCAACCCAAGCCAAGTTGTCTTCTGGGTCTAAGCAAGGATTTGTCCTATGTAATTGCCTAAAAGGATGTCAAACGAAGGCATGTAGGTGCATAAAATTAAATATAAAATGCAATTTAAAATGCGACAAGAGCTATTTTTGTAAAAATAAGTAATGTTTGTTTTTTAAGCTCGTTTCTTTATCTTTTTTAAATGTAGTAACATATAATTTATGTTATACCGATGCGTTTAAATAAATGATTTTTTTATTTATATTCATTGTTTTATTTAAAACGCATTCTGAGTAATGCAATAGCTAAAACGCGACGTGGGCAAACGAAATGCCCCGCAATGCAAAACAAAAACCCGCGAATTTTTTGTCGTGGGTAGCATAGTTTACCCAAAACGCGTTCTGTTTAATTAGCTTTTCTCAATGTTCGAAAAAAACGTCTCTAATCGCAGTAAACTACTATACCCATAACGCGTTGTGGACAAAAAATTCGGGCAGTCAGCGAATAACATATATATACTTTTTTTTAAACATAGTCATGTATTTAAAATGTGTGTTTAAATTTGTAAACATATTTTAATCTTGTATAAAATATTTCGTACAATTGCGTATATCGAATTATAAGTTTAATTTGTGTACCTAACTTTTAAAAAAATATAGGATATTGTTAGCCAGTCGCTGAATTACTTTACTAAGAAGCAAAAATCAAATTTGATATTAAAAAAATCAGTGAAATTTTTCGAAGGGGAGCGATGAGGAACGATAGATACAGTTTTCAATTTAAGGATGTAAATTAGTACAAATTAAATCGAAAATATGGATTCTTTTCATTTCGACGCGATCTAATTTAGATAAGACAGCGTCCCCAGTGTAATAGCTTTAAGGTTGATCGAAAAGGGGCCGCCAAAATTCAAGACCCCAACGATAAACTCACTACGTAGCAACGCGCTGCCGACAAAAAATGTTGAACAATTCATTCACAAAATACATTTAAAAATCATTTGGTTACATCTTTTACAGTACTTAAAAAATGGTGTGGGATTAGAAAATCGCCATAACTTCCTAAAAATAACAATCTTCTTTATTATATCTTCTTTTATAAAAGACCTACGTACAAAGTTGGCATTGCTTCGTGCATTACTATGGTACTAGTGTTACACTAGTAGTGTATACACTTCCGTATCTTTGATTTGCTCTGTCTTCTTTGTTAACACAAAGATTATAGATAAAAAGTCGATAGTTTTCTTGCGACAATCGCCTTTTCTCACTCCTTGGCGAGTTTTGGTGATTCGGAGATTTATCGCATATTATATCTTCTTTTATAAAAGACCTACGTACAAAGTTGGCATTGCTTCGTGCATTACTATAGTACTAGTGTTACACTAGTAGTGTATACACTTCCGTATCTTTGATTTGCTCTGTCTTCTTTGTTAACACAAAGATTATAGATAAAAAGTCGATAGTTTTCTTGCGACAATCGCCTTTTCTCACTCCTTGGCGAGTTTTGGTGATTCGGAGATTTATCGCATATTTTTTTAAATAAATCTACCTAAATTTTAACAGAAACATTTAGAAATACCTATAATAAATTATTGTGCCAATTTACAAAAAGTCTATAGGTACCTATACATTTAAAATTCATTTGGTCTAATATTCTCCAAGGCCTTAACATATTTTCCATTTTCATTATAGAGTAAATGAATTTGTTTTTAATCTAAATCAGTTGATCTAATAAATCTTTATTAGTTTAGAATCTAAAGATATTTTACGAGTTTTTAATAAAACTAGGTTGAGACGTTGTAATTTTGGTATATTGTCTTCTATTATCTAAAGACATTTTTAGTAATAGATTGCACGGGGCATTAACTACTAAAAGAAAAATGAATAATTTAAAATCATAGGAAATATGCACAATAACTGCTCATGTGATTATAAAATCGTTAAAAAGCAATTAATATCAAAATAAAACTTATAATGGAAAATTAAATGCAATTAAAATTAAAAATCGTGAATATTTTTTAATTAAACGCTGTTCCAATTATTTACCCTAAAACATGTTTTATCCCTTCTTCATCTAGTGTATACTATTGACTGAATCACAACTACATTTTTTTTATTTGTTTTAGGTAAAATTTGGTTCAGATCAACTGGATTTTCATAGAAATGTAAGCATAGCATGCACCGCTTTCTCAAAAACAGTTTATTTAAATATTATGGCGGGATCTAGAGGTGTGGAGGCCCTGGGGCAACAAGGGAGGCTCCTAATTAGTTTTCAAATAGTTTCAATCATTTATTTATTTAGTCGTATGGCACAAAAATATAGAACATGCAATCACAAATCAAATCACACAATAAGTAAAAAATCTTTAAATTTAAGCCTCTCTTGCGAATGGTACCTTGCGAGCCTTTTTCAACCAAAAATCTTTGATGATTTCGCTGAAATCCAGCTCCCGCAGTAAATCACTTTCAATGTTAAGTAGGAATAACTTTGATAGGCGGTTTTGCCCATCGTAGTTCTTAGCCTATTTTTTATAATTTTTATTTTTGAAAATGAGCGCTCTCCAGTGCAATTTGACACCATCAAAACCAAGTACATTCGCAGTGTGATTTCGTTGTTTGGGAATGTAGCTCTGAAATTTAGAATCTCAAGAATTTGATAATAGAACAGCTCCTTAGATAGGTCTTTTCTATAGTCTGTTTTGTATAAGTTCATCAAAGATACAAATTGAACCAACTCATTACCAAGACTAGGTTCTAAATCATCTTTGTAAACTTTTACCAATTCATCTGCTGCAGCATACAAATTTGCAGAATCCATATCCTCTAAATTATTAAGAAATTCAAATTTTTAACGTAAGCATGCAATCTTTTAGTAAGAGAAACACATAGCTGATCAATCACTGGAATAAAACCTGACAATTTTATCTTTGTGTGACAAGTTAGCATCTTGTGCTTTCATATAATCGAGCGGATCCAACCTCACATTTCTAGTTCTGGTGCGAGATTGTATGTACTGGTTAGTACTTGATATTCCTTTAGCAGCTTCTTCGTATTTGTCAAACTCGTCTCTTTTGGATTCAACAAATAATTTCAGTGATTTCAATGTATGCATTGCAGACTCAAGAGTCATCTTCGGGTCATGCATGATCTTGTTTGTAGCGTAAAATGGCTGCAAAATGTCTTTCCAAAAGATGGCAAATAGAGCGGGTTTGAGACAACTCATCTTCTCCAAAAGATGCTCATATTTGCTCATATTTGCAGCATTATTGGCCGCGACAATCAATAATTTTATTTTGATGGTCGCTCAAAAATTTCAGTAAAGCGTTTACTGTGGCTTCACCAGTTTGATCGATCCTTCAATATATCAAATAACTATAGTCAGTCGATATGAGATTCGTCGGGCGTGGAGTCCACTGACACCGAATAATACTTGGATTTTTTAATTCTTGACATTATTTCATCGATTACCCATGGAACTGATCAGTTCTTCACAAATCGTAGACGAAAGGTTTTTTTTTAATAAATTAAATTTATGTGGGGGCCCCTCTCTTGTGGAGGCCCCGGGGGTTGCAATGATTGCCCTCCATTTAATCAGTATCAATATTTTTCATACATACGTAAGTTTTTCGGTCATGTATATTTATAAATAATAGTTTAAATACGTTTACTACAAACCTTTTTTGTTTTAAACAAAATTATTACCAAATCAATTATTCTGTGTTTAAGGTTTATTCGAAAAATAATATAACTTCATCTCTTTTTTCTAAATTTAATAATATTTCTTAAAATAAAATATCTTTTTTTAAATATTTTATAATAGGTTTATATTAACATAAGAAAATTAAAAAACAAACTTAAACATTCTTTATCTTTAACCGTTCTATAATTTTACCTTTATTATTGTCAACACTTACTACTTAAGTAATTAATAATTATCGGCTAAATAATTTAGACCAATCGGGTAAAGTTTTTTACCCCCAGTCTGTAAAAAGGGTTAAACCACTAAAAAATTCTATAATTGTCAGATCTACCTAAACATACTTTCTTCTTTTAATAATAATAATTATTATCTATAATTGTAAACATTCAATTTTTTTTAATTTCTTCAAGAAACTTTCTTGACCCATTACTGGTAATATTCATAAGAAAGAATTGAACCTCGTCAAAGTTTTTTGTTTTGAGTGCGTTCTACCAACTTTAAATACAGTGTTGCCAACAGTAAAATGTTCCAAAAGTAGCTGGCCAAACTTTACTAACGTCATGTGGGTACAGATGAAAATAAGTCTATTTTTCTATAGGTATACAAAGTTTGACGGACACATTTTAGAATAAACTGTAGAAGGATTTAGATAGTACTAATATATTTAAATATATCATCTATTGTTTTATCAGTCTCATTGTTATATATTTTTGGTACATATTTGTTTTTATACATTATTAGGGAGAAGGTAGTTCTTACAGCATAACTGTAACCGTTTAAGGCCAAATCTAATGTATAAAATTTATCCTGTTTCTTGTTTTTGATTTTATCACATTCATAATACTAAATACACGTTCAACGTCAGCGTTGGAGTGTGGTAAACATAGGAGTCTTAGAGCTAAATGTACAAGATCTTTGAATACATTTTCACCAGATGCATGTCTGTATTTATTTACCTCTACCCAAAAATTTTCTGTATTAGTTTTCTCCAGCCAGGGAATAGTACTTCATATATATATATATATATATACTTTTTTCCGGGTAAACTCTTTCTATAAAATAATTATTCTTTAAAAATTATTTCCATTAAAAAAAATTCTAATTAAGTAAAATTTTGACTTAAAGATAATTAATACCAGTAATTTGTAAGATTTTACGATTCCAAATGGTCGGAATGGCCCCTTAACGGTTTCAATTAGCGGGCGCGTTCGAAACGGCATAATCCCTCGGTTACCAGGACGTGTATGTTGTATGCAATTTAATTCGCATTAGGGCGAAATTAATAACATTAGTAGGGCCCGAGCCGAGTTCCAGGAATGACTTAAGAATGTTAACGACATGTACAGTACATTAATTTCCGAACAGTTGGCACTTTCGGCCATACCACAATTTAGAGGCCTTGCTGTAAGAAAAACAGGTTTAACTTTGTATTTCTGACTTTTGAAAAATATTATTCCCATTGTGCGCAAAAGGAAATTGTGTGTTCGTTTATTGGAAATCTTTCAGAGGGCTGGAACGTCTGAAAGGGTGAAGAAGAGTTCAAGAACGGACACCTTAATTTTAGAGAAAACTAAATTATAAAAGGTATTTCCTATGATAGATTCAATTTTAGATATATTTGGTGAGGATGTACTTTTTTATTGAATTTTCACAGAAATACCAAAAAAATATCCATTTCTTCTACAATTTATAAATTTAAATGGTTGTATAATGTAGTACAAAACCAATTTGTTTCTGGTCCCCGGTCTAGGGGGCCCAGGGCTCCCAGCAGGTAGTTTTTTTAAAGACTTGTCTATATTTTTGTCTTAAGTCTATAAAAGTCTATTTTTTTATCTAAAGTCTATAAAGTCTATATTTTCTGTTAAAATCAACTATTAAAAAATAATATAAATATTCACAGTTTTATAAATATCGAAACCACAGTAAACCAAGTGAAACATTCGAAAACTTCGCAGTTTACATTTAAAGTTCCCGCCGTCCAGACCCGAACCGCCCGCCAAAATTATTGCTAGGTTCACACTACCTATATATGCATTTTTCATGAAATTAGTAAGTACCTAGTATCTATCAAAGAACATGTGACAAAGAATGTGTTCCTATTCTATCCCGGACAACATTCGTGATATTCATACGAACATCACGTCGTGATTTTCACAAATTTTATTCATACTGATATCATACGGAAGTCACAGCGTGATAAATGAAAATCATACGAACGTCACGTCGTGATTTTCACAAATTTTATTCATACGGACATCATCCGGATGTCACTGCGTGAGAAATAAAAATCATGTCGTGATTTTTTATGCCATCGCTGTTTGCGATTGACCGATGGCACAAAAAATCATGTTGTGATTTTTTATGCCAACGGTGTTTGGATAATCATTTTTACGCCACGTTCGTACACTAGGAGAAAAATTATGTTGAATCAACAGTTTTTGCGGTTAAATACATTTAATATTTTCTTGGATTTAAATTAACTATATATAGTTAATTTAAATCCAAGAAAATATTGAATGTTAAACTGTTAATTCAATTGTTAACATACTTTTTCTTTCAATGTACGAATGTGTCGCAAAAATGAATATCCAAACACCGATGGCATAAAAAATCATGTCGTGATTTTTATGCCATCGGTGTTTGGATATTTATTTTTGCGACACATTCGTATATTGAGAGAAAAAGTATACCTACATATGTATTGAATCAACAGTTTTTGTGGTTAAATAAAAATATTCAATAGTTTTTTGGATTTAAATTAATAGTTAATTTACATTCAAGAAAATATTAAATGTATTTAATCGCAAGAACTGTTAATTCAATTGTTAACATACTTTTTCTTTCAATGTACGAATGTGGCGCAAAAATAAATATCCAAAGATGTCGGTGCACCGATGGGATAAGAAATCATGTCGTGATTTTTTATGCCAACGGTGTTTTGATAATCATTTTTGCGCCACGTTCGTACACTAAGAGAAAAGTTATGTTGAATCAACAGGTAACAAACTAGGTTTTAAATTCGCAGTTCGCAGGGCTATTACGCATGCACAAATTTTGCTAATATCACACCGTGAGTTCTACATGATATCACTGTGATGAAGCATGTGTATGCACTCAGGATATCACGGCGTGATAAAAAAACTCACGTTGTGATATCATCATGACTTCACCAGGAAATCCCGATTGTTGTCCGGGATGTTTTATCATCCATTCCATAACCCTAAAAAATATGTTCAGACGATAGCAAAGGTAAGTGTATAACTATAGTTTTGATTATTAAAAATTATACATTTATATTATTTAATAAAAACAAAGTTTAAATGTACTGACATAAAAAAAAAATAAATTGAACGATTAAGGAAGGGTGCAGAAATTAAAAAAATGACTAAAATATGTATGGCTCAACTAATGTTTGAAGGAGTGAACCATCCCAAAAAAGAAGCGGGGAAGGTAACTTACAAGATTAGTCGTCTTGCCCAAGATTTAGAAAAATGAAAGGCGAAAATTATAGATCAGCTGCAGCCCACCAAAAAAAAAATATTACCCATTAAATGACTAATGCCAGTGCCTTTTATATAAATGTGATTCTATTTATTATAAGTTATAATTTATTACAGAATTTAATTTTTTTTTGTTATTTATGTATTTTATAACAGTTATGGTTACATGTTAAATTTAATTCAATAAAAATTTATAATTTCAAGTTATCTCTATGTATTTTAAATTCAAATTTAGATCTTTTATCCCAAAAAAGTATACCTCCATTTTATAGTTATTTCGGTAATTAATTTGGTCTATATTTGGTCGTTTATTTTTTATTATTAGTCTCTTAAGTCACTATTTCTCGCAACATGGACTGCTGGGAGCCCTGAGGGGGCCTCAAATTTTATAAAAGTCTTCCAGTCTAATAAAAGTAACAATGAAATTTTTGTTCAGGAAGAGGCATTTAGAGTCCAAACGCAGGCAAAATAAGCATATACCTACTCTCTAAAAATAAATTAGTCAAAAATGACTAGTTACTATGTAGTACAGTTATTAAAGGCTGCTTTTTTACTTATAGCATGGTTAACCATGGGATACCATGATATCCCCAACATTTAACAGCCAATTCTTATGTAAAATTATGCCGACTGTTTTTATTGCATTTATAAATTTACAATATTAATTAATAATTTGTATTACTATGCCATAATATACCTACACTTCATTTTTTAAATTTTAATATTAATATTTTAAACGATGTGTAGGGCGGTCGCTTGGTATACTAGAAGTTGTCAAACTTTTTTATTTTTTTATTTTATAAATTTGTTGTTCCTTTGTTAAAAAGTGTTGCGTTGGTTGGTTTGTTTTAGTTTTATCGTACATATCGAACATAACAAATCTTAAAATTATGACGTTACTCGGGACTGAACTTAAGTCCCGCCTCGGGACGGGAGCCACAGCGTATTTTAAAGTTTAGTTTTATACCCATTACATTACGTATAATTTGATTTGGGGAAGGTCAATTGACCGCTGGGCGATTCCATGATTACTAACGGGACAAAACGAAACAA